AGTGTTGCGGGCCTCTTCGGTGCCAAATCCAAGCGTCGATTGACGCGCATGCGCCGTCGCAGCAAAAAAAAAACGGCGCTGCTACCCCCCCTTGCGTCCTCCTCAATCCCCCCGCCTCTCCTCTTCACACTGTTAAACAACTCCTCCTCCACCTCCCTTTCGCCTCCTCCTTTTCTGGGGCTCACGCGTGAACATCCATGGTCTCATCGAATCAAAATGAATTGAGACGTGTCCATCGCAGACTGAGGCGGTCATTGTTCGATCGTCGTAATGAGGCTTTGTAAGCATGCGCGCCTGATGCGCGTCGTCTTTTGCATTGCTACCTCCCTCCCCAGTATGGAAGCGGATCGTAAGGTCCTGCGCTTGTTTAGGAGGCCCTGTATCTGCCCCCTGCGGTTTCTTCTACATTCGCTGTATACCGTGACCGTATTTGCACTGCCTCTCAGATCACACCAAATCATAGCATTGCCTTCAATTGCATTGCCTTGCGTAGGGGACCTGTGCATAGCATTGCCTTCAATTGCATGATATGCTGCATCGCATTGCACGGATTTTTTGTGGTCGTGCGTGCGTATCCCGTTTTGGCTCGACGCGCTGTTCCAGGCGGCGCTCCAGGGGGCGAATGGCTGGGGCAGGATGGCAGGATCGCCGCCGATGCCCGCCCCTTCTCGACCTGCGGGACCACGTGGTTTCAATGCAGGGCATTGTGGCTTCTGGGTCGTTCAGACATCCATGGCCATCTCATGTTAAGCCTGAATCGTTGCGGCCTGTGGAGGACATTATGGCTCAGACTGTCGCCGACAACGGGCTGCAACTAGACCACGATACTGCCACCAATGGGGATTGTGGTCCAGACGCAATTCTGCGCAACATAGAGCGCCTTCAAGACACTAGCCTCCGGGCAAAGCAAGTCTTGAAGCGCCTGCAGTCACACGGCCGGGAGTCAGCGCTGCTGATGGTTCGCATTTTGTTGTTGATTTGGGTTACGAGCAACAAAGACGTTGAGGTCGTGCCCGGTGTCTCTGTATTGTCGTGGGTGCAAATGGAAGGATACGCGTCCATGGACGAGTGCGTTGCATCAATGCGCACTCCGCGGACATGGATTGATACTCCCATGGTGGTAGCTGCGTCTGGCGCTCAGTGTCTGAATCCTGATCGCCCATGGCCCCTGTCGCTTGCATGCTTCACAAAGGCTTCCCATGCCCAGGGCCTGTATCTCATAGTAATCTTGTGCGGTTGGCATATATGTTCGACGCGTATGCTCGACCTATCCAGCTAATCAATCTAATTATTATTCCTAGGGTGGCAGGTGTATGTTCGGCTTTACTTGAGCCTCGGGATGGCTGTTCCTCCTCCTCCTCCTCCTCCTCCACCCTTTCCTCCTCCACTTGAGGGAGATGAGACACTTGGAGAGACGTCGAATCGAAATGGATGTGCAACAATCAGAATGCGGACGCCACGACGACGACAGTAGCCGATAACCGCCGAGACTTCGAAGCCGATCATCTTGGGCCATCTTGGAAGCCAACCCCTTGCAACTCCTGAGCCACATCTGGAACCAGCTTCGGAAATCTTGTCGCGGCGGGGCGGAAAAGACATGGGGGCGAGAATGAGGGGGACGATGGGGGGAAGAGTAAGAGTAGGGATAGGGCGAGGGTGAGGATGATGAGAGAGAGAGTTCGGCGAACGGTGAGGAGGAAGAGAAGGAGGGCGAGGCAGACGAGGAGGATGCGGAGGATTAGGAAGTGAACGCGCGTGCGCATGACCACGACCGTGCCCTTGGTTTTCCGAACGCTGAACCCCCTGGAGCCTCGACGGGCCCCCGCGAACCTGAACCCGCACGCGGTGAGACAGAGAGGCGGACGAGGAGGTGAAAAAGAGAGGAGGGGGGTGATGATGAGGAGGAGGAGGATGGGGGAAGGAGGGAAGGGAAAGGCGGGTGAAGAGTAAAATGTGGAAACTATGTACGATAGAGAAAATGATGGTGGGAAGAAGGCTGAGGATGCCGGGGGGGGGGGAGAATACGGCGGGAAAATTGTCGAAGCAATATCTTGGGCCATCGGCTTCGGCTCTCTTGAGCCTGGCCTAAGACCTCCTCAAGCTGACTTGGAGTCATCTTGGGCAGTGGAGAAGGAGGGTGCCCTCCAACTGCCTGTAGCCATATTTTGGCTCAATTTGCCGCGCGCCGCCCGTCCCGCCGCCGGCGGGTGAGCTTGCCCACTGCAGGGGTTCAACGGTGGTGTTTGGATAGGGGATTACCGAAGGGGCGTCGCAACGACAGCAACACCTTGCTGTCGCTAACGTTGGGATATCCCCTGCCGAAACGCCCCCTGTGGACTCCTCTGGTCCTACAGTGGTCCCAGATCAGCGTGATGGCTGGTCCTGGTCAGCGCGGTCCTTGCCGTTTCGGACCGATTTCTTTGGAGCCGGTGTGCGTCGAGTTCCTGGAGAAGCCGAAGCTGCACCAGGACGCGGAGGCCATGACTGTGGACCCCGACGACGAGGTGGGGTGGCTCGCCCTTCTGGATCGCATGTTCAAGGCCGCGGGAGAGAAGCAGTGGCAGCTGAATGACCCTGACTATGACAGGCCTGCTGCCGATGATGATGAAGTATGTGACATGCAATCCATTGCCGAGCTCGCGGATATGCTCGAACAGATGCATCGCGCAGACGAGATGCGTGAGCAGCAGAGGCAAAGGCGATGCGATGCAGAGCGCAAGGGCTACGACATCCTGAAGGTCTTTGGCGCGATGGGTGATGGTGCAGTCTGCTGCCAGTACTACATCAAGCGGATCAACAAGCACATGAGGAAGGAGGACATGCATGGGCCGATGAGGCCGCCATTGCCCGCGACCAAGGCGGCGATGTCCAACGGGCGCGAGGGTGCCGCGGCGGCGAAGTTCAGGACCACCGAGGATCGCATGGCGGTGCTGTTCAAGGGAAAGCTCGAGCAGATGCCCGAGCCGATCGGCGTGGCCACGGCGGTGAAATTCAAGCGCGAGCTCGAGCATACGTCCGAGCCGATCGAGCAGACGCCCGCGTCTTCTTCAGCCGCTGCTTCGAGCTCGACTGCGATTGCGCTGCCAGCCGGCCAGGTTGCGCTGTCGCGCGATGCCGCCAACACGAACGCACGTTGGACTCGATGCGCCTCGGCGTGGGGAGAGGTCCTCGGGCCCCAGGGGACGCTATCTGATAAATGGAAGCAGGGTCGACGCCGGGCCAGTCGCTCAAAGCGGCGGCGGATCCCACCTGCTACGGCTGCGCCGTGTGAGAGGGCGGCGAAGCGCACGCGCGGTGCGCTCGGCGGCACTTAGGTGGCGCGGCGCTTGAGCCGCAGTCTCGACGAGGGGGGCAACTCGCCCCCCTCCGGGGGGCCAGGGGGGGGAGGAGGAGGAGGAGGAGCAAGAGAGGAGGAGGATGAGGAGGGAAAGATGGTTGAGAAGAGGATGGGGGCACATGTAATTGGCGGCGACGCACGCTGCGAACTGCCGATGTTTAGCGCCCTGGGTACCTGCCAACTCGCGAGCTGCGACGGGCAGACTGTCTCCTTGCTCGGCGATTCCGTCGAATAAGCGTCCCTCCCCTCCCCTCCCTCACCTCCCCCCCCCCCTCCCCTCCACCCCCCCCCTCCCCTCCGTCGGTCAAGCCCCATTCCCCCCATCCCCTGGAATCCCAAAAAGAGGCCAGAATGTCGCAGGTAATTCAATGGTTCTGGTCAAATGGGCGCTGTATTACACCAACAGTTCCGTTTTTACGTTCGTTTAGAGTGTTGTTTGGGTGCATGTGAACAAATAGTTCGCAAGGTACGGTAGGGTAGGCTACGGTATGCACGATGCGCTGTGTAGGTCGTGTTGCTCTGGTGCAGCAATGGCAGCGCAAAAATCGAGTTGTCATTATGAAAATGCTGGCCATCGCATCATTTCATCGCATCGTTGGGCCCTCGCATCATCGTTGATCCTCCCAACCTGTTCGCTTCTACTCTTGACGCTGCAAGGTGCCGCGGTGCGACTGCGCTTGAAGCACCGCGGAGATGAGGGCGAGGGCAGGGGGAATTAAGATGGGGCGCGGCGCTGCAGAGTCAAAGCGTGAGCCCAGCGGATTGGGATAACCTGGACCGCCCCATTACGCTCCGAATCACGAGGCCAACGCTGGGTCACGCAGTGTGAGCCTGATCCAAAGTGGCACCTGAGCTTGTGAGAGTGCCCCACGGGGGCCCCCAATTCTTGCAAGGGTCTGCGAAGGGCATTCGAAATGAAGCCTTCGAGGCTAGAATGAAAAGGAACATTCGCGATTTGCATGAAAAGCTAGACGCAAGAGCTCTCGAAACCCAAGATTGGCGGGCTCTCTCTTTTCCCTTGGGCATTATATCATCATCGACTCTCGCCCCTGCTCACCTTGCCAGCCACATGCGCGCCTCCTCATGTTCTCCCCTGGCTTTCCCTCTTCCTCAAATCCGCCCATTCTTCTTACCTCCGCCATCCGTTTCCTCCTCGCCCCCATGTTCCCCCCCCCCCTTTCCCCTGTCTGTGGACAACGGTCGGTCTCGGGCAATGTTCACGTGACCTCTGCAGACGAGGCGATTGCGATGTGTGATCGTCAAACCCATGTGGCTAAGGTCTGGGGTGTTCGAGATTTAATTCGTTTGTTGGGTTGGCCGCGGTGGGCCTGAACTAATCCTAGCTCCTGAATTAGCCCGTGCCGCCCAGGACCTGCCCATCGCATTTCTTGCCAATTGCGCCAATGTCCATTATTACGCGCGCTTGCCTCTGTCAGAAACAGCAAGGGACATCTCGCGCGCAGTGGATATGACTGGCGACGCTCTGTTGTCCTCTCGAGCTCCACAAGTTGATCATCGTGATGCCACGACGCCCAGCGAGGATCAATGCACGCGTGGTGGCGGCGACAACCGCGGGCAGAAACAAGACGCCACAGTTGCACATACGTTTAGGGCATGCCAGTGTTTGTCAGCCTGGGATCCATTTGAACGCCCAAGTGAGGAGATGACGAAAGCAGCTGCTGGGCTAAAGTTGAGCAACAGCCCGGGCACGGCGGTGCAGAACACGCTTCGCGCCCTGCAATGCCGGGACGCTGACAAATTATACCAGCGTGAAGAATTGGAGCGTCGGGCAGGCATAGATCGCGAGCACGTGTACCAGGTTGCTAAGAATTGGCTGGCATCCGGAAACTTAATCGTTGGAAGATAGAATGCTTACGTCAAGTCCCGCAAGATTGCCAATAAGCTCGACTTGAACAAAGTGATTTCTGATATCAGCAAGCCGTGCTGGAAGAGAGACTCAGAGCACACGTGCCTGGATGCATTCAGGCATCATCCTGAAGCAGTGCCGCGATGGCGGCAGATGTGGCATAGTCTACCCAAACACGACCGGGCGCAGCGTCTAGCCGCTGAGTACGCACAAGCATTTGAGGCACACACGGCTAGACGCATGGGCGACTCCACGTGCTTCCAAATGCAGTACCGCATCTTCGGCCGCAAGGTATGTAGAGACGCATTCATCGCTCTGACTGGCATGCACGCGTGCACGTTGCAAGACGCCCGTAACCTTGCAGTTGGCGCCAAGATGCCTGCACTGCCTCATGGCTTGGGTTCCTGGGTGTGCTCTCGCCCACTGACGTACATGAACGCGCGGGCATGGCTAGTTGCTTACGCAAAAAGGCCAACGCAGACACTTCGCCCATGAATGACAGACTATGGTTGCCAGCTGGCCGCAAACAAGATTATTTTGCTGTGTACTTCCATGACAGGACGTCGAAGAATGCAGACCCTGCACACATCGCTTCTCAGAGCTATTTCCTGAAAGTCTGGCGCCAAGAACTTCCATGGCTGCAGCTGCGGGCGGCATCGGGGCCATTTACCCGCTGTGGTTTTTGCAATTTTCTCCACATGCTCATCACAGAGGCCAAGGATCAGTGCGTGAAGGACTTGCTGTTGCGAAAACTTGGGCAGCATTATGAGTTCCAAGCTGCGCAGAGGATGGCAATGAATCAACTGTTTGCAGAAAGCGAGCGGCACCCCGAAGAGCTAGTGACAGTTGGTTGGGACAAGATGGATCAGGCTAAAACTATTCTGCCGAGGGTGAAAGCGCTGTCCAACACGCAGTTCCAGAAGGGCGGGTCCAGGTTGATCGCGCATCTCATTGGGGTGCTCAGCCCTACCCTGTGGGACAATCCTGTATTCTATACTGTGTTTGAAAACCAAGTCCAGGGTGGAGATATGATTTGTTCCCTGATGGTCGATGCGCTGGTTGAAGCCACGTCAAAGCTAGGGTTCTTGCCCCGGCGGCTAGTCATACAATCTGACAACGCGGCGAAGGAGACCAAGAACACAATTACGCTAGCGGCAGCTATTTGGTTGTTAGCGCAGCTGCAGCATACTAGATTGCAAGCGATTGAATTGTGTTACCTTCTTGTTGGTCACACGCATGACTTGATCGACGCCACCTTCGCATTTGTCAGTCGAGCTCTCCATGCCAAGGATGTGCTATCTCTCCCAGACATGTTCACCCAACTCAACCAGAGGATGAAACGGCCACCCCTATGGAAACATTTGCGCGACGTGTGGGGGTTCAGGGATTCTCGGCCTCCGAGTCTTACAGCAGATTCTGTGAGGGGTATTAGCTTACCACACCATTTGCGAGTATCTCGGAGTGGCGATGGTGATTTGTGCGTTCAAGCTAAGCGATGGCTCACGACATGCGATTGGTGCAAGCCAATCGTGCTCTGTCCCGGGGTCAACATTCCCGAAATGCGTGAGTGGTGGGCGCCGCCCTTGGTTCCAGAATGGCCTGGGAAGTTTGTGAACTCGCACCTCGCGTGGCTTAAGAAGCTCCAAGCACTTTTGGAACAAGCCGGCCGCGACTGCAGCAATCATGTGGACTACATGCGAAAACTCGTCAATGATGAATTACCCGATTACTTGCCCTCAGGTCAACCGCTCGAGGAGAAGATCAACCTCGTGCGCAAGAACGCGAAGCGCGGCATGGGCCAGGCCTCGCAGTTGGTGAAGGGCGTGGATACTGATGCACTGGACAAGGCTATTGCGGCTGCCTTCCCTGGATCATCCGCAGGTGGCTGGCTTTCCATAAATGCGATGTCTTAAGCTAGCGGCTGCGCTGGAGGGGCCCTAGTTGGCGAGAGTTCAGTTCAGGATCACCATGCGTGGAGGTCTACGCGCATTTGAGCAACTGATTGGTCTCTTATGCCAAGCTGACATAAACAAATCGAACCAATCCCTCTTCCTCCCCCGTACCTCCGGCCAACTCCATCGCATCCCCCTCCAGCTCCGCTTCCTCCGCCTCCCCCTGTAACTTCGCGTGCCCCAACCAGCCCCTGCATCGAGGATGCCCATGCGAGCTGCTCGAGGCTAGGGAGCGCAGACCAAGATGGCGGATGGGGTGAGAGTGGGAAGAGCAGGAGGAAACCATTCGTAGGAGGAGGGTGGAGGTTTTGTCTGCAGAAACAACAGCAAAAAAACGTTCCTCGACGCACATCTTCACACGCAGTCTTGGGGCGCTCTTGGGCCTCTCTTCGGGTTTTAAGGGGTCTTCGGGTCCGTGGACACTTGGGGCCGTCTTGGAACTGATTTGGGGAGTCTTGGATCATCTATGAACCCGTATTCGGCTATCTTGAACCGCCTTGGACACATTAAGGCTCATTGGGAGCTCTCGCCACAAACCTCCCGTAGGCCTGAACGATCAGACCCCTCACCGAAGCGGAAGAATTGGAATAAAGCGGATCGGGGTGATGTTTTCGGTCGCTACTATGTTGTCTGAGGTGGACCTGGGCCGATGCAACTGTTGCAAATTGCCAGTGGCGAGAACACGGTCAATGCTTACTGTATGGGCCCGCTGGAGTGTGACGTATTCATAGTGTATCGGAACACGGGCAACGCTCGCGAGCAATGCCCTATACGGGTTGGTAAGGTTGCGCGTTTGAACTACGAGCTCGATGGGCCGAGCGTCGTGGTCGAATCGTACTGGTCTCTACTGAAGCCAGCAAAGTTTGGACAGCGTTTGAACATGTTCGGTACATGGCTGAGATGTGTTTCGCCGGTGTCGTACGCAGCCCCAGCGAGCAAGAAACCCGCGGTTCCGTGGTCAGCTGCGACGTGCATCATGATTGCGATGCGCGATGTTTTGGTTTGGCCTGTCAATATGGAGCATGGCTCCTCGGATGTCGCTGACGGCGTGCGGATTCTGTTCAGCGCGTTTGATTATTTGATGCAGAATTGTGATGTAAATGTTGCCGCGCCCGAGTTTTCATTTTCCGACCGTGGCAAAGCATACTACCAGGATGCTGTTATGCGCCATCATGCGGAGAGGAAGCCTTGCTGAACAAAAATGGGCCCCTTGGAGGTCAATTTATAAATTCTTGACGCTTCGCGTATCCCCACCAGCCCATCCAGAAACGATGTCCAGGCGAGTTGAAGAGATCAGGAAAGTGGGGGAGCAACGAGAGGAACAGCCGATCCGCGCAAAGGATGAAGCGGAAGAGGGGGCCAGATGGATAGTTGAAGGGGGTAACGAGGAACCGAACGAAGGAGGGATGAGGAGAATGATGACGCTGGGTGGATGGTTGAATGCCGCTCGGATGCCTCTTGGAAGCCTTTTGGAAGCCTCTTCGGGCGTCTTGGGGGTCTGTTGGCGGTCAATGGGGGCTCTTGGGCGTCTTGGGTGCTTCGGGGGGGCCTCTTGAGGCCGCTTGGGGTCCTCTTGGGGGGCTCTTGGGGGCCTGTTGGAAGCCTTTTGGGGCCTCTTGGGGGTCTCTTGGAGCTCATGGCGGCCTCTTGGAGCCTCTTGGAGGCCTCTTGGAACCATCCTGGGAGCCTCTTGGAGCCTCTTGGGGGTTTCTTGGAGCCTCATGGCGGCCTCTTGGGGCCTCACCTCTTGGGGCCTCCTGGGCGCCTCTTGGGGCCATCTTGTATGAGATCGATCAAAGAAAAGGGTGGAGTTAATTAGCCCCGCCCCCCCAAGTGGCCAACATGGGGCCCAAACCTGGGTAAAACACCGATGATTTTGGCTTCCTCGCCGAGGCCGTTTTGGACGCCCTGGCCGTTCGCGACCGGCCCCGTCCAGGTCCAGGGGAGGGGGTAGTAGGGAGGGGTAAACCCCTCCACGAAGGGAAAGAAAGGGAGTGGAAGAGGAAACTCCCTAAACCACCTACGCCAGGGAGGGCTGGTGGGATTCCAGGCCCCTCCATGTAAAGGTTGCGCTGTGGGATAGGGGCGCAATTTGATGGGGGGGGGAGCGGTATTTATGTACAACCAGATGAGGATGATGAGGAGGAGGACGAGGCACATGAGAAACAGGAGCAGGAACAGGAGCAACAGTAGGCGCAATAGGAACCTGTGTTTGGTGGCGGTTGACCACCTGCGATCCTTCGCCTCCGCCTCCTCCTCCTTGCGTCATCCTGCTCCTCCTGCGTCCTTTTCCTCCTCCTCCTCCTCCTTTTCTTTCTCTAAATGTCCTTCCCCTCCTCCTCCTCCTCCTCCTCCTCCTCCTCCTCCTCCTCCTCCTTTCCTATGTCTCTCATCTTCCTCCCCTCCTCCCCTCTTCCCATTGTTTTTCTCCTCCTCTTCCTCCTCCTCTTTCTCCTCCCCCTGGTCCTCCTCCTAGTCCTCCTCCACCTTTTGCATCCTCGTCCTCTTCCTACTTCCCCTCGCTTGGTGGAACCCCCAATCATTATTTGTCTTTGTAGGATGGTGTCCGCGCAGTGGGTCTTGGGCCTTGGGCCTTAGTGCAGCCTGGCTAGACTTGCACGGAGCTCGGAAGGGGTACTGCCACTGCCACTATTACTGCCGCTGCTACTATTACTGCTGCTGCCACTATTACTGCTACTGCCTCTATTACCAGGAGGTGGAGGGGACTGCCACTGCAACTATTACTGCTACGTCCATGTTCCTGCTACTGCCACCGCTATTGCTACTGCAAGAAACTGCTGCTACTACTACTACTGCAAGAAGTTGCTGCTGCCACTGTAGGTGTTAGAAGAGGCGGAGTCTGAAGCGCGCGTGGAGTCTGAACAGGAAAATCCTCACATAATGCGAATATGGCGGAAGATGTGGCGGGAGATCTGGCGGAAACTCTGGCGGAAGACCTCCCAGAAGGTCGGAGCATCAATCTGGCGGAATGTATAGCGGAAGATCTGGCGGAAGATCTCGAGGAATATGTGGACGAAAAACCGCCCACCCGGCGTGTGAGTTTAAGAAAGTCTCAGCTGAAGCTCTGCTTCAGCATGAGCTTTAGCTCTGCTTGGGAAGGGGGGGAGGGGGGGCGTAATTAGTTGACGCGCTCAGTGCTCGGACCCCCCACCCCTGCCAGCTCCCAGGAGAAAGGGGGGGTAGACAACAGACAAGGGGGGGGGGACAGGAGAGGACTGGGGAGGGGGGGGAAAGGAGAAGAGAGGGGGGGGGGACAGGAGAGAGGGAGGGGGCACAGGGGAGAAGGGGGGGGACAGGAGGGGGGGGGAGAGCGGGGGGGACAGGAGAGAAGAGGGGAGGGGGGGGGACAGGAGACAGGGGGGGGGACAGGAGAAAGGGGGGGAAACAGGAGAGAGGGGGGTCGGGGGAGAGGGGGGGGGGGCGGAGACAAGGGGGGGCAGGAAAGGGGGGTGGGAAGGAAAGGAAGAAAGGAAAAAGGGGGGGACGGGGGGGGGACAGGAGAGAATGGGAGGGGGAGGTGGACAGGAGAGAGAGGGGGGAAAGGAGGAGAGGGGGGGGACAGGAGAGAGAGAGGGAGGGAACAGGAGAGAGGGAACGGGGGACAGGAGAGAGGAGGGAGGTGGGGGGGGGGGGGGGGGGGCGGGGATCATCCCCATCCCCATCACCATCACCAGAACCATCGTCGCATCACAATCATCATCATCATCATCATCATCATCACCATCGTCATCATCATCATCATCACCATCATCATCCTAATATCAACATCATCATCATGACCACCATCATCACCATGGTCATCATCATCAGCATCATCATCATCATCCGGAGCGCCCCGGATCTGCGGCACTGGCCAGAGGCCACTACAATCGGAATCGCAGTCATCGTGCGAATCGGGAGGACACAAAAAAGTCCCAGATGGTTGCGGAGTCCGTGGGGGGGACTATATATATGTATATATATATAGAGAGAGAGAGAGAGAGAGAGAGAGAGAGAGAGAGAGAGAGAGAGAGAGAGAGAGAGAAAGAAAGAGAGAGAGAGAGAAACAAAAAGAGAGAGAGAGACAAAGAGAGAGAGAGAGATACAGAGAGGGAGAGACAGAGAGAAAATGAAAGAGAGAGAGAGAGAGAGAGACAAAGAGAGAGAGAGAGAGAGACAAAGAGAGAGAGAGAGAGAGAGAAAAAGAAAGAGAGAGAGAGAGAACAACAGAGAAACACCTATAGAAACAACATAGAGAGAGAGACAGCTAAGGAAGTAGAGAGAGAGAGAGAGAGAAAGATCGGAGAAGCAAACGGGTGTCCCGTCGACAGCCGGCTTCTGCGGTAACCACGGCCGCCATTGCAAGCTTAGCGTTTGTGCCCACCTTGGGGAACTGGGGACGTTGAAATAATCGCCCCCTGGCGCACAGCGACGAAAGGCGGGGTGCTGACCAGGCGATGCGCCGCGTCTCTGGCGCCCCGCGGCAGAAAGGGCCCAGGTCGGCAAGGCCCTGGTTGGCGGCCAAGGGACAAAGGCTAGGCAGGTGGGCCTAAGGCCCCACCCTGTACGAGCATGCGCGGCCCTGAGCAGGTCTTTCAGCGTTTGGGCGGATGCCGCCCCGTCGGGCAAAAGATTTGCGGAAAGGGACGCAAAGCCGTCGCGCGCGCGGTGGCGGCGCGGTACGAACAGCCCTTGCTGGGAAGTGAAGGCGCGGACTTGGTGAGAGAGGGTAGAGAACTGGAGACGTAGGGAATCGTAGGACTTCTGCAGCTCGGCGGCTCGGCCTTGGGCTGAGCTCGGAACGCGGCGTGGACGGCCAATACCAGCCCTGTTGGCGAAGTGGGCGGCAAGGTCGGCGCGGCGATCAGTGTCTCGTGTGGGCACGGCCCCGTGGACCCACAGGGGACGCATTGTCCACTCCGTCACGGGGGGTTGGGAGTCGGAGCTGCTGGGTCCGGTGGCGCGGCAGGGACCCGCATCAACGGTGGGAGAACCTGAGACTGGGTCAGCGGGGTGCTCGAGTTTGGTTCCCGAACCGGGCCCAGATCGCGGCCCCTGGGCGCGGACGGTCGTCGGGGGCGGGTATGTGCCCTTGTCACGCCCTTGGCTTGGAGTTGGGTATCCTGTTGTGGGCTCACGTGAGCGGCCGCGCTGTGTAGTACGCGTTTGTTGTGATCGTGCATGCCAATAGTTTGCGTGGCTACTGGTTCGACTTTAGACCAGGTCGTCACTGGTTCCAACTTGGGCTTCGCCGTGGTCGTCACCGAAGTCCCACCAGCCCGTTGGGCGTGCGTGGTTTAGAGAGCCCGCTCTGTCCTCAACCCCCCTTCTTCCCCTTCGGGGAAGGGTTTACCCCTCCCCCTACCCCCTCCCCCTGGGCCTGGAGAGGGGGTCCCGCGGGTCGTCAGGGGGGTCCATTTCGACTCCTGGGAGGGCTAAAAAACGACACCCCTCACGAGGATTCTGCCCCCGACGGGGGGAACGAGAAAAAACCATCTCCTCTTCTTTGAAGCCAAAATCATTGATTTTACTACGGTTTCGGCCTCGTTTTGGCCTTATGAGGGGGCCGCGCTCCTCTTCCTTCATAGCAAAATCATTGATCTTACGAAGGTTTTGGGCTCATTTTGTCCTTCTCAGGGGGCAGCGCTCACTTGCGCTTCTGAGGAGGTCGCCAGAGGCCCCAAGATGGCCCCAAGAGGCCCCCAGGAGGCTCCCAAGAGGCCTCCAAGAGGCCCCCAAGAGGCCCCCAAGAGGCTCCCCCAAGAGGCCCCCAAGAGGCCCCCAAGAGGCCCCCAAGAGGCCCCAAGAGGCCCCCAAGAGGCCCCCCAGAGGCCCCCAAGAGGCCCCCAAGAGGCCCCAAGAGGCTCCAAGAGGCCCCCAAGAGGCCCCACGAGGAGCCCGAACGACTCACACCAGGACGAGGGGCCGAACGACTCAACCACGAAAGCCCGAACGACTCCACCAAAGGAGGGGCCCGAACGACTCACACCAGGACGAGGCGCCCGAACGACTCACACCACGAGGAGCCCGAACGACTCACACCACGACGCGGGCCCCGAACGACTCACACCACGAGGAGCCCGAACGAGTCACACCAGGAGGAGGGGCCCGAACGACTCACACCAGGACGAGGGGCCCGAACAACTCACACCACGAGAAGCCCGAACGACTCACACCAGGACGAAGAGCCCGAACGACTCACACCACGAAGAGCCCGAACGACTCACACCAGGAAGAAGGGCCCGAACGACTCACACCAGGACGAGAAACCCCAAACGACTCAAATCACGAGGAGCGCTTTCTCTCCCTCCTCCTCCGCCTCGTCCTTCTCCCGCTCCCCCCACAAGGAGGATGTACAAGGAGGCGGGAGGAAGGAGGAACAGGGGAGATATGCGGGGCCAAGCGGACACACGCCTGAAAAACATGACTCTCGGCATGCTTCGCAAGAGTTGTTGCTGTGAGATGGGCTGGTGGGGATACGCGAAGCGTAAAGAATTGCCCGTCGCCAAACTGGAATATGGGTCGACTCGGCTTGGCTCGGGGGGAGGGTAGTGGTCGGCCCTTCCTCTGGGGGGAGCTGCGTCGCGGCTCCCTCGGCGAGGGTTTCTCCAAGTTGCTCACCGAGGACTTCGCGCTTAGGGATGGTAGATTTGACGCTTGACCTCTTTTTAAGTGGTGGCAAGGAGAGCTTCACCCGAGTCATTGTGTCAGTATCGGCGTTAGAATGGTCAGGTGGCGGGACACCCCCCCCCCGTGGGCGCGCCCATGGTCAGTGCCCCTGGTCGATACCTTGGCGTGGCAAACGATCGGCCCCGTCGTCGGGAAGCGCGGCCTCGGGGTCTCCAGTGGGCACGACGGAGGTCGGTGCTACTGGCACAGTGGCGATGGGCGGTCGTCATCAGAGTTGGGTCAGCTACGGTCGTATGGGCGGGGTGTCTAGGTCGTCCATGCCTCCACCGAAACCAAAATGGTTTTCCTCGTCGTCGTCTTGGGTTTCCCAGACGCGGCGGGTTTCCTCCGAGAAGTCGTCGGGGTTCCCTGGGATATGTTGTTGGTCATGGGGGGCAGCGGCGGTAAGCATGGGGTGTGGTTCGAGCTTGCCCAAGTGAGCGTTTGCGTAACCTGCTCGTGTGTGGGACAGCGGTCAAGTGCGGTGTCGTTAATCGCAAATGGCGACCGAAACGCTGTGGAGCACGACCGCGAAGCAGTGGCGCTGTCTGGTTTCTTCGATCGAACGGGGCGGGAAGTGATGACGGGCAGTCGCGCCCGTGGTCAAGTGATCTGCTCGGCAAAAAAAAAAACATACACACAGGATCACACAAACAAAAAAGCGGGAGAGAGAGAGAGAGAGATCTAAAACGAGAGAACACAACTAGAGCGAGCGACAGAGAGAGAGAGAGAGAACGATCACGAGGGATACATAAAGACATATACGTAGAAAGAGAGAGCTATATATAGCTATAGGGAGAGGGAAAGAGAGATATATCTATATATATATATAAAGAAAGAAAGAGAACGAGAGAGAGGAACAACCAAAAGGGAACACCATATGTTTATGCAGGAGGGGAGCGGGAGGGAGAGGGGGAGAGAAAGAGAACGAGAGGTAGAGAGTGAACGAGATAGAGGAAGAGAGAGAGAGAGAGAGAGAACGAGACACAGACGGACAAAGAGAAAAGGGAGAGAGACATATAGATCGGACAAGCAGACGGGCGTCCCGTCGCAGCGGGCTACTGCGGTAGCCAGGGCCGCCAATGCACGCTTAGCGGTGGTGCCCGCCTTGGGGTATGGGGGAACGTTAGAGAGAGGAAGCGGGGAGACAGAGAGAGAGAGAGAGACAGAGAGAGACAGAGAAAGACAGACAGACACACATATAGACAGACAGACAGACGTACAGGCATACAGACAAAGAACACACGGAAGAAAAACAGAGAGGGAGAGAGAGAGAGAGGAACACACACATATATATATATATATATATATATAGTGCAGGAGGAGAGGTGATTAAGAGAGGAGGGGCAAGGTTTAACTGGGAGGGAGAGGGTGTGACTGGAGAGGTTTTCATTGAGGAGGTAGAGGATCTAATCGGGCAGGGGAAAGACGACAGGGTGAGGGAATGAAAGTTCGTCGAGCGACAGGGAATGGGCGCATCCCAGCAGGTCGATGCAACGCTGCCCCGAGGCCCAATGTTCCGAATCGTGTCGCGCACCTCTCCGTGCCAGCACGGCGCACGTGCCAGCACGGCGCAAGCGGTCACGGCCGATCCTGGAGGGCCCGCCGCACACGGCGGGTCAGTCCTCCATCGCCAGCATCTTCGCCTGGCCGGAGACAGCATGAAGGAAAAGAAATCCTGGAGGATCCGGGTCCCCGACCCCCAGTCTGTGTCCTGCGACCAATCATTCACCCTGGCCCGTTTTGTTGACGGCCCCGGTGCCTGTGGAGGCCCCATGGGCACCCGCAGGCGGCGCACAAAACCTCAGGACACGCTTCCTCGAGACCCGTTTGCTTCATGGCGAGCGGAGGCCGCGAACTTCAACGACCCATTCCCGCGGGAGCGAAGAAGACGCCCGCAGGGCGCGGATCGGGAGCGGCCTCTGACCTCTGGGGCCCTCAAGAGAGTCGTCATCCCCCTCCCATCCTCCTCGTCCTCCTCGTCCTCGTCCTCCTCCTCCTCCTCTTCCGCCTCCTCCTCCTACTCCTCCTCGTACCACTCTGGGCAGATGTTCCACTGCACGCTTCAACACTTCCCTGAAGATGGTAAAACGCCTGGGCATCGCTTCAGGATCTCTTCCGCCCGTTTCCCGTCAGCTCTCGCTAGCAGCGTTTCTGAATGGGCTACTGGAGACACATGAAGCATAACAAAAATCCGATCGAGCTCGAATTGCCCAATCACCCCCCCCGCCGCATTTCGAGCACCAAGTCCGCTGACCCCGGCTTGCCAGGGGTGCAAAGGCGTGTATGAGTTGATTGGCTGCCCCGCTGCCCCCCTCTCGGGGATCTTCTTACCCGGGTCAATCCAGACCCGGGTCAGCAGGAAACCAAAAACTGCAATGCAGGAACAAAAAACTGCAACGCAGGTCTTCGCAAACCCGGGTCAGCCAATACGCGCGGCCGCCTCGCGGCCACGAGCGGCTCGCAAACCCGGGTCAGCCAGAGGGGGTCTTCGCAGGATCCTGCAGGATCCAGCGCTCTGGCTGACCCCCGTCTGCACTGACCCCCGTCTCGAGGCTTCCGACCCTCTCCCCTCCCCCTCACCCGGGGGTCTGAACTCCGAGTAGAGAGGGGTCTCGGGGCTCCCTGACGCACCCCCGAGGCCTCGGGAACCTTTAAATCTAAATTTCGAGGCCTCGAAGATGCCCAAGATGCCCTCTAAGCTGGCTCCAGCTGTGCTCCGACACGCCGAGGAGGCATCAAAAACAGCCAAGATGGCTTCAAAACTACCCAAGAGGCCTCCAAGACGACCCCCAAGACGGCCACGGCCCCAAGAAGCAACATCAACCCAATCTCTGAGGAAAGCGTGTACTTTTAGCATGCTCACATGTTTGGTTTAGTAGCGTTCTAGACAGCTCGAGAAACCCACTGAGATCGTCCCAAGAGACCCAAGAAGCCCCCAAGATGGCCCCAAGACGGCCGACGAGGGTTCCAAGACGGTCCAAGAGGCGCCCAAGATGGCCCCAGAGAGCCCCAGCAGGGCCCCACACGGGCCCCAAGACAAGCAACTCAAACTGACATTCCGAGCCCTCCGCCCCAAGAGGACCCTCGAGACCGCCAGCAGGCGTCCACGAAACTCCCAACAGTCCCAGAGAGGCCCCCAAGAGGCCTAAAAGAGGCCCCCAGAGGGCCCCCAAGAGGCCCCAAAAGGCTTCACCCGTGAGCTTCTTCCCACTTCTGGAGTTCGGCGGATTGGCGTAAACCTCTTGACTAATTCCTGGGGCAACTCTTACTTTATATGAAATGGGAAAGGGTGAGGGATCGGTCCTCGTATGATTCGCTGGCACACCAATGGTGTTAAACCACCTGGAAATACCACAAAAAAAAACTGCTCGTGTTGCCGCATCCTTTGCGCGTGATCTGGAAAGAAGGTGCGATCGGGGTATACGTGAAATACTTTTAAGATATAGTGGGCGGAACTCTGATGGCATCGACACTCCTATCTACCCGCGCCTTCATACGCGCCTCCCGATGTCTACCTCCTCCTCCAGGCCCACTGATTTTAGTACCCGAATAACATTGTTGAACTGCTGCTAGCCTGCCTTGGATTAGGTCGACAAGTACATCTGAACCTTCGACCTGGCGAGCGAGATGGTCTGGCACTCTCCGCCACTGGGCTGCCTCGAATGCCAGCTGGCTAGCATGGTCGTTGATGTGGATAACCTTAAAAACATGAAAGGACCAAACCGAACTGAGAACGGATAACCGAGATCGAACAAGACCGAACCGGCCAACACACAAAACATCAAAAACCGAACCGAACCAGAACCTGACCAAAACCTTTAAACAATATCCCAGCAACGCAACCTAACAGCGATGTGTAGAAGCAGATCTGGAAATATTCCCCTTAAGGTTCAGGTGAGAATCCAGTTGTAGAATTCTGCTGTTCTCGCAGTCGCAGCCTCGGCTTGCCTCGGCCTCAGCCTCAGCCTGCCTCGGCCTCAGCCTCAGCCTCAGCCTGCATCAGCCTCAGCCTCAGCCTGCCTCAGCCTCAGCCTGCATCAGCCTCAGCCTCAGCCTGCCTCAGCCGCAGCTTGCGTGAGCCTCAGCCAGAACCTCAGCCTCAGCCTCAGCCCCTGCCTCAGCTTCAGCCTCAGCCTCAGCCTGCCTCGGCTTGCCTCGGCATCAGCCTCAGCCTGCCTCGGCCTCAGCCTTAGCTTCAGCCTGCCTCAGCCTCAGCGTCAGCCTCTCAGCCTCAGCCTGCATCAGCCTCAGCCCCAGCCTGCCTCAGGCTCAGTCTCAGCCTGCCTCAGCCTCAGCCTGCCTCAACCTCAGCCTCACAGCTGGCTCCGGGCATTCAAAATGTTGGGTGGGAATGATGTTCTGGGAACACGAAGAACACGAAGTGGCCTACAGCTGGCTCCGGGCATTCAAAATGTGGCCTGGGAGTGGTGTTCTGGGAACACGAAGAACACGAAGTGGCCGACAGTTGGCTCCGGGCATTCAAAATGTGGCCTGGGAGTGGTGTTCTGGGAACACGAAGAACACGAAGTGGCCGACAGTTGGCTCCGGGCATTCAAAATGTGGCCTGGGAATGGTGTTCTGGGAACACGAAGAACACGAAGTGGCCGACAGTTGGCTCCGGGCATTCAACATGTGGCCTGGGAATGGTGTTCTGGGAATGGATTCCTAAAGATTCCTAAGAATTCCGAAGGATTCCTAAGGATTCCTGGGGCTGCCGGTTTTGCCCGGTTTTGTCGGGATCCCGCCCAGACCCCCCTGGGGCGTCAAGATGCTCTCTTTTGACACTACTAGAAACCTATCAGTCTTCGCTGTTAGGTAGCATGAAGGGACCAAACCGAACCGAGAACGGATAACCGTGATCGAACAAGACCGAACCGGCCAAAACACAAAACATCAAAAACTGAACCGAACCAGAACCAGACCAAAACCGAACCTGTGGACAAAAACTGGAATCGAACTGGTTTGAACCGAAAAGAACAAGCACCCCCCCCAAGTCCGGACTCCGAGGGAGGAAGAGCCCGAGGGGCCCGAGAGGGCTTTGGGGGCGCACGGGGGCCCCGAGGGGGCCTATTAGGGGGGCCCATGAAGGCCCCATGGCAAGGGAACCTCGCGAGCCTATGGGGGCCTAAGAGGGCCTAAGGGCGTCTATGGGGGCCCAAGTGGGCCCAAGGGGACCTAAGGGGGCCTATGGGAGCCTATGGGGGACTACGGGAGCCTATGGGGGCCTACGGGGGCCTATGGGAGCTTTTGGGGAGCCCCAAGAGAGCTTCTGGGGGCATGAGGGGGCCCAAGGAGGCCTGAGGAGGTTTATGGGGGCCTATGGGGTCCTCAGTGGGCCCCAAAAGGGCCTGTGAGGGCCTCTGGCGGCTCCGCGGATCGCGTGTCGCCGCCGCCGCCGCCGCCGCCGCGGTTGTCGGCGTCGTCGTCGTCGACGTCGTCGTCGGCGCCGCTGTCGCCGGCCATTGCCGTCGCCCCCCATAGGCCCCAAAGGCCCCCTTAAGGCCCCCTTAGTCTCCCTCAGGCCCCATAGGCCCTCCTTAGGCCCCCATAAGCTCCCTAAGGCTACCTGAAGCCCCCTTAGTAGCTAGCCCCTTAGGCCCCCAAAGGCCTCCATAGGCCCCCGTAGGCCCCCTGGGGGCCCCCATAAGCCCCTGTAGACCCCCTAGGCCCCCATAGGCCCCCGTGAGCTTGCCCATGCCTCCATAGGCCGCCATACGCTCCCGCCCCACGTCTGCGACCCCCGAATCGAATTGGAACCGGCTCGAACCAGAATCGACTCGAACTGAAACCAATGGTACCGTTCGGGAAACAGGAACCGATTCGAACCAGTACCATACCCAAGCCGAACTGGTCGAAACCGAACTGACGTCAAACCGAACAGGCCAAGTGAAACCGAACCGGAATCGAAACTGGACCGAACAAGACCAAACAGGTCCCTCCATGCAAAAGGGTGCACGAGCTGTTTCTGCTTCGGTGGAACGCTTCGGTGAGACGGCTTTTCACTTTTCAGAACTCACGTTGATGAGGGCCAGATGCTGCTACACTCCAGAATGTACGCCAAGTCTCGATGCACTTCTGGTGCCTGTACTGGGGACCTCTGGAGAAACTATTGATAGCATAAGCGCAATCCGTGATGATGGGCCAACGGGCGCGAGTCAACTGGAGCAGGGCGACGACCGACTCGAGCTCTGCCAGCGCGACTGCCAGAGGGCCTACGATGCATCCCTGGATGGTTCCTTTCCAAGCAAGGTATGTGCCCACAAGGAAACGATCCAGCTGCAGACTCTCAGTCGCGGATCCTTCGTGTGAGCCCCGCCTCTGCCATCCGTGGCCGCTACCAGCCCTCCTGATCCTCCTTTTCCTCTTCTTCCTCGTTCTCCTCCGTATCCTCCCCCTCCCCCTCCACCTGCTCCTCATGTTTCCCACCTTCTCGTAGGCCGTGCCTACTCCTCCACATCCTCCTCCTCCTCCTCATCATCCTCCTGCTGCTCGTCCTTTCCCTGCCCCCCTTCTCCTTCTCGTCGCCATCCCGTCCTCCTCCTCATGCTCCTCCTCCTCGTCAACAACACTGTCTCATGCAGCCCGGACCGTCTACCGCTGGGCGTGGAGGCTCTGTCTGCCAAGAGGGTGGTTGATTTGTCGTTCTCCCCTTGGCGCTGGTCGACCATCATGGCGAGGACGTTTCGCTGATTCCCGCGTCCCCTCCCGAACTTCAGAAGGACTTCAGAGGGAGGGGCCTGCAGGGGGGTCGGTTACATCTAGTTCGTCACAGTGAGCGCCGTCGGGTCATTACTCAAGCACTCCAGGCGTTTTGCGTCTAAGAAGGCCGTGCTCGAGGTCTTCCTGGTTCAGAACTGCTGGACCACTTGGCTTTGAGGAACGGTGGTTGCGATACCTCGACGGGGTGCCACGGCGGGCACCCCATCGACACCCTCTTACACCGCCTGTTCAAATGCCATTGTAACGGACACCTCCGAGTACAGATGCCCGTGAAATGACCGAATGTGCTGAGGCGGCCTCCTCTCACAACGCCGATGAGGAGGAGCCTGTCTGAGGCGCGGCCTCCTCTCTTGGTCTTGAGCAGCTGAGGGTGTTTGGCGTCTTCTGCAGGCTCTGATCTTCGGTGCTCCGTCGCGTACGCATCTGGTGTCACAGCCCCCGCTCTCTCGACCGCAGAGCCCCGTCGACCCCGCCAGGCCTGCGCCGCCTGGATCTTGGCCGCGACCTTCTGGCGCCGCTGCTTCAGGGACAACTTCACGCTGCGCGTGTGGTCGGTGCCGTCAGAAGACTTGACGGCGTTGCCCTTGGCGAGGACCAGGGAGAACAGGAATTGGGCGTCCCAAAACGGTGCGGCGACAGACCGTGCGGTGATCTCGACAACCCATAAGACCTCGCTGAACTGTCCGTCACCGCACCGCTCTGGGGCACTGATAGCCTCGATCGCCCGAGACATGCTCGGAGAACGACCCCACGAATCCCTACTGACTCACCACACCGTTTAGTCACCGCATTTTTGGGCGGCCCGCACAGGAAGGGCACTCCGTATGGAATGTTCGACGAACATCCATCCCAGGGCTGCACGCTCTGCTTTGCGCCCTGTCTGGCCCCGCCGGCCTCAACGACCGCCAACTTCTGAGATTCGACCCACCCCAGCCTTGTGCTCATGGGTGATTGACTTCTTCTCCTTCTCCTCGCGGTCAGGATCCTCCTTGATCTTGTCGTGGGCCTCCGAGTACATGTCCTCCATCTTGTCAGCATCGATGTCCGCCGCGATGTACTTGGCGAAGTGGGCCTCGTACTTCGTGGGGTCCTCCTCGGCAAGCATCTCCATGTACTCTTTGACGTGCCCACCGAAGATCCGGTCCTCTTGGCGGAGCGCACACGGTGGCGTTCTAAGAAGGCGGGTGGGGGCTTCTGAAAGGCAGGGGCTCCCTCAGAAGGCCCCTCGCCTTCTCAGAGGGCCCCCCCCGCTCGCGCCACAACCTTGTGAGCGCCGCGGGTCCTTGTGCGCCTCGGCGTCGTACTCGGGGTCCTGGCCTTTCTCGTCCGGCGCCTGCAGGGGGAGGCAAGCTGCAACTCAAGCACAGGCGCGGCGGAAAAGCGTCCGCCTTCACTGTGCGAGCCCACTTGTCGTTGACGCCGCGCTGACGGTCAAACCTGGAGCGACCTCCGTGAGGTCCCCATCTCGAGTCGCGACGGGCGAATAACAGTATGAAGTGAGCTTTTCCGCCGTCGGTGGGCGCCTGCCCCCCAGGCGGCTGCAAAGTTTGCACCCCACGGTGCCACGTAGGGGTCTGAGCTTTCCAGCCGCCCGGGGGTGGGCAGGCGCCCCCCGACGGCGCCCTCGGGCACGTCTCTTTCGTACCGTTCGTCGCCCGCTGAGACTGTCCCGAGCCGCCAGCAGTCGGCCGCACAGGCAGCGCCAGGGGCTCCCTGGCGTTCGGGCCAGAGCTCGGGCCTCCGGCGGTCCCTCGGGGCGATCCTGGCACCCCCGCAGCGTTCTCGACCAGCCCGGGCCTCGCAAACCCACTGGAACCTGCGAAAACACATCCGAGCTGAGGCTTGGCTCTCTCGCGCAGCGGGCGTTTTTTTTCCGCGGGCCCTGGAGCCCAGAACAATAGTAGCTCGGGGTGACGCCGGGTTGATGACAATGTCAGGCACTGGCCCTCACCTCGACCTCGACATCTGACTTGACCTCTGCGGACCTCCCGTCCCCGCAGCAGGGACCCCCGCCGCCGCATAACCACTGTGCTCTCGGAGCCCCGCGCCCCGGGCCCTGCTTCTGCCCCCGACCTCGCACGCGCTGAACCCTGGAGCGCAGGGCCTCCACACGCCTTCAATACATATGTATGTATGTATGTATGTATGTATGTATGTATGTATGTATGTATGTATGTATGTATGTATGTATGTATGTATGTATGATTGTATGATTGTATGTATGTATGTCTGTATGTATGTATGTATGTAGGTAGGTAGGTAGGTAGGTAGGTAGGTATCTAGGTAGGTAGGTACGTAGGTAGGTAGGTAGGTATGTATGTATGTATGTATGCATGTGTCTATAGAAACGGCTATGGCACGAAGTGGGTGCCTCGAGGCCCATACAACACTGATAGGTAGAGGCAGTGCTGCTGCTGTCCTGCGAGTCCTCTGGACGCTGTGCCCGCCCACAACGGTCCAAGAAAGCCCCGAACTGCCGAAGCAACATTCAAATACGTTGTCCAATAGCCTCGAGACGGCCCCGGGCACTTCCAAGACAGCCCTAGAGGCCTCCAACAGCACCCCCACGAGGGCCCAAAGAAGCAACCACAATTGACTTTACTTTGGTTTTTGAGGATTTCGGCGTTCGCGCCTTTCGGCTTTCCGACGCTCCAAGACGGCCCATGAGGCCCCAAAGGTCACCCCAAGACGGCCCCAGAGGCCTCCAAGACGGCCCCAAGACGGCCCAAGAGAAGCCCAAGACGGCCCAAGAGGGTCCCAAGATGGTCCAAGAGGGCCCGACAATGGCTCCAACAGGGGGTCCACATGGGGAACCCGAACGGGCATTTCGAGCCTTCGGCCCCGAAGGGGCCCCAAGAGGCCCAAAGCGGCCCCCAAGAGGACCCCGACGGGCCCCCGAGAGGCCCCCAAGAGGCCTTAAGAGCTCCCCGAGAGGCCCCAACGAGGCTCCCAAGACGCCCACAGACTGCTCCCAAAAAGCCCCCGAGAGCGCTCCGACGACACCCGAAGCATCCCTGAGAACTCTGATCCACAACCCAGGTACGGTGGCGGGATTGGCCGAAGGTCACGCACACACACACTCGTACACACACATACACACATACACACACACACTCTCACACACACTACATATATGTGTATATATATATACACATGTATAGAATGACCCCGCCTCTGCCCAGAATCACTGTTGGCACCCCGAGAACCTCCGAGGGTCACCCTACAAACGCGCGAGAGCCCTTCAAATCCAGCCCAGAGGTACCTGCAACCATCCTCCTCCTCCTCCTCCTCCTCCTCCTCCTTCTTCGCATCCTTCCCTCCGTACTCCTCTTTCCCATTCTCATTATCCGTTTCCATCTCCTATCCTCCTCCTCCTCCTCATTCGCCTCCCCCTTGCCCTGCACCCGATCCATCGGGATAAGGAAGAAGTTAAGAAATCAGACAGACACACTGGCTTGCCGAAGGGACTGTCGGAGTCGGTGGTGCTTGAGTGCTGGCTGCAATATTTTCGTAACCAGATCTACAGTTTGACGGCCCCAGTGCCCGTCACGCAGGACCCCCTTTCCCTCAGAGCACCTTCAAGGTGTCAGCAATGATATTAAGTGCGGTACGTAATCGGCAAGACAAGGAACTAGACGTGCGGGGTGGATACTCTGTTTGAGTGGAAGGTAAGGAACGCGATCTACTGTTCCTTCTGTATAAGAAGGGGAGGAGCGAGACGCATGATGAAATAGGCTGAGCATGACACCTTGTCCAAACCAGTTCTCTGGGTGGACGGGAGAAAGAAGCTTGGTCCTGGGCTGTCTGCATTACGGCCCCTGCAAGAAGGCCGCACTGTACCGAGCCGTCCTCTGCCACCCCGTCGAGGCCCCCACACCGCGCACCTCGCGTCTGTGGCGCTCTCTGGTCCTCACCTTCCTGCGAAGAGACGGTCGTCCACGGTACGGCGACAACAACACCGAACACCGTCCGAACCGACCACGAAACTGACATGCCGTATGAAAGGGCGCAGCGGCGCAGAGACGACGCCACGGCCGCCCGAACCACACCGACCAACGGGCAACCGACTGCGACAAGCGGCCACCGAACAGACCGAACCGTGGACACCCTTGAGTGCAGCACCGCGCCCACCCCCCTTTTTCCCAGCACGCCTCGCCGCGAGAGTGCCCCTACTGAGACTCGCGCGGCACGCTTATACTACGTGGGCCTGCAGGGGTGCAGACAAACAAGGGGGGCGGGGGCATTTGTGCGGCCCCTGCCCCCCAGGCGACGCGCAGTTGATGCCAGAGGGCGGCTGGCCGCGCCCCACTGGGCACTCGGCGCTCGAATCTACGACTTGGCACTTGGCCTGTTACAATGGATGCTGAGCAGCTGCGGTTGAGCGAGCATCGGGAAGAAAAAACATATCCCAAGGCGCCAGGCCTCCGTGCGAGAGGGGGAAGGACACGGGGAGGCGAGGGAGGAGCGGCAGGAAGTGAGGGAGGGGAGGGAGGAGTGGGGAGGAGGAGTAGGAACTGGGGGTGGAGGGGCCTCCTCCTGTTTCTCCTGGAGGGATGGGCCCGTGAAAGCATCTCAACTGCTCACCGTCACGGAGTAGACAGTTGCCCCCCCCGACTGCAGAGTGCGCTCCACTCGCGCTCGCGCACGAGTTGCTGCCTTTCCCCCTACGTTGTCGTCCTGGCCGTCGCTGTCCTCTGGCTCCTCCTCTATCTTCACTCAATCCTCCCCCCGATACATTCATCCTGATTCTCGCTGGCTCAGCACCTCCTCCTCCTCCTCCTCCTCCTTTCCCCCCTTCTCCCCGACCACGTTCCATGGAAACAAGATTGTCCCGTAAAAATCCGCCAGACCCCCCCCCCCCCGACAACCTGGACATCCCCTGCACGATGCATACCATGTGCGTCCCAGCATGTGATTGTGGCTGGCGCTCGAGCGGCAACACAATACCCATTTGGGGATGTGGCCGGCGCTGAAGCCAGAGCACCACCTCTAATGAGGAGGATATGGCCAGCGCGCAGGCGACAGCACCAATCCAAGACGGGGATGTAGCCAGAGCTCGGGCGAGAGCACCATTCCCAATCACGGATGTGGCTGGCACTCGAGCGGCTATACGTACCCAATGAAGGATGTGGCTGGCGTTGAGGCGAGAGTACTGTTCCGAATCAGGGACGGTGCCAAAACGAAGTGTTGCGAGGATATCTCAGGCGGCACTGGCCAAACCAATTCTCCCACGGCATCTCCGAACCAAGAATTGCAGGGATGTCTCGGGTGAAACTGCCTGAAACACATCCGCTCAGAGCACCTCTTAACCCAGGGTTGCGATGATGTCTCAGGCGAAACTTGCCAGTCAACTTCGCGCGCGGCATCCCCGAGGCCAACATCTGGAGGAAGTCTCATGCGAAACTCGCCAGACCGCCTCAGGTCAGAGTATATCGGAGCCCAGGAAGTTGCGAGGATGTCTCATGCAAAACTACATGGACAACCTCGTGCGCGGTATCTCGGAGTCCAGAGTTGCGAGGATATCTCAGGCGAAACTACCTGGACAACCTCGTACGCGGCATCCCGGAGCCTAGAATTGCGACGTCGTCGCTGGCGAAGCTGGCCGGACCACCTCCCGCAAGGCATCTCAGAGCCTCAAATTGCGGGGATGTCTCAGGCGGCACTGGCCAAACCAACTCTCCCGCGACATCTCCGAATCCGGAATTGCAAGGATGTCTCTGGTGAAACTGCCTGAAACACATCCGCTCAGAGCACCTCTTAACCCAGGGTTGCGATGATGTCTCAGGCGAAACTTGCCAG